ATACAGTAAAATACAGGCAAAGGAGAGAAATTGCCTACAGAAATTGCTTGCTTTTTTTCTCCCCCTGCCCTTGCAGAGAGATTGGAGAGAAAGAGATTTCAAAAGAGTGAGCTGTTTGCTCTTCTATACATCGAAACCAATGTGATTGCGCAAGCAGCAGGGTCAGGCAAAGGAGAGATTGCCTACAGAAATTGCTTGCTTTTTTTTCCCCTCTCCCTCACAGAGCAGAGAGATTGGAGAGGAAGGGATTTCAAGAGAGTAAGCTGTTTGCATAGTGCACCCACAGCTCCCAGCCCCAGGCTGCAGCACCATCGTGTTGCTTTTGACTTGTACAAGACAATAAGCAGGCAGTCAAGCATTCCAAAGGGCAGGGGAGTGGTTAGGAAGGAAGCAAACAAAAGCCGAAGGTGTGAAACTGAGCAGTCTTGTCTCTTTCCAGCAGGAAAGCAGTCGTGGTCAATTGATTTCCCACTTAGCGACCACTTTGCTTACCTGCAGGTTGCAGGTCCCAATTAGGGTCATTAAGCAAAGACTACCTGTATACAATTTGGCGCCTGATGTAATCTTGGTGTTTCCTATGCAAACCTACCCCTTCCTTGTTTTTCCTCTTACTACTGAAATAGCCAAAAATTCCTTTTTATGGATTTTAAGTTCCTAAGTTTCTCATGACTTTTAGTGTTTCTGACTTCCTTTCTGCAGATATTAATTACTCGTTGGTATATCTCTCTGGTGATTTCACCCATTTTCTATTTCATATAACATGTCCCTTTTAATTTATAGCTCAGTCAAAAGCTTCATGTGCACCCATAGTGGTTTCCTAAGCTGCTCCCCCCACTTTTCTTCCTATTGAACGGTGTGGAATTGTACTTTCAGTTTCTTATTTTTGAGAAGTTCCTATCCTTCCCGCACTCCCTTTGTGGATTTCTGTCCATGACATCAGACCTACTGCATAGCTCAGCTTCTTGAAACTGTCTCTCTGGAAATCTACACGCTCCAATTTTTATTTTTCTAGTATTTTAAACTCTACCATGATGTGGTTATCAAAGCTGTCTTGCTTTTACCTCTTCAACCAGTTCTTTATTGGCTAGGATCAGATCTAGAAGAGCCAATCCCCTTGTATTTTTTCAGCCTTCTGGAAAATGACACAATCAGCAAGACCATGGAAAACTGGATGAGATGGTTTTCCAACAGATATCCAGGTAGTTGAAGTCTTCCATTACTACAATGTCCCCCTCTCCTCGTACAGATAGCTCTGCAAGAACCAGTCTCTCCTGTAGCCCAAGCAAACGGCCAAGAGGGGTAATTTCTAGGGATAGATGGGAGAGGATGTGCCACAGTAGCCTGCACTGACCAATTAGGGATGGGTTGCTGACCATATCAGCACCCATATCTTCAATTAAGTGTGCTACATCTTATCCATGGCAGAGATTTTGTTGAGAGAACAGGTAAAAAACCCAATTCAAATCTCTGAATATCTAAAAACAGCTAAACTGCCTTGACTGTGAGCTGAGGATACGATGAAAACAATGACATAAAAAGGTGTAAAATGGCATAAAAAAGGATATAGGACAAACTCATGCCATGGTTAAAGGGAATAAGGATGAGCCCCAAAGAGGCTCATGGATTGTGTTGGAATAAGGAGGAAAATGTTTAACACCCAGACAGCTAGGGGCAACTTAAGTTTCTCATTCATGAGTTGGGGATGAGATAAAAACATGAGGATACGGCAGGAAAAAACATGCTGCCAGGGCCAGTTCCCCTGTTAGGTGCACATGGGAAAGGGCCTTACAAGAACCAGACTGTAAATGGGAGAGAGGCATTCCTTCCTGTGTGAAAGAGAAGGCAGCAATGTTTCCTCTACGGCCTTCTCCGTGTGCACCTAACCGTGGCACAAACCCGCCCCCACAAACTCTTCTTCTGCCAGGTCCTCCTGACACCCCCTTCATCACCCCCCAGCATCCTCAGCTGTTCCGCCGTTGAGGCAATCTTATTTCAGCAGGCAGCGATTCGACACACTTCGCTGACCTTTTGGCTGGTGTCATAATCAGGTGACCTCTCCCCCCCCCGGAAGGGATCAGCCTGGCACCTATTGCCATTTTTGGAGGACCACCCTCCCTCCTGTTGAGGATTAGCGAGAGAGCCGCATTTTTTCAAACCGCCCCTCCCGGCGCCTGCAGGTCCTTGAGCTGATCCCCAGCTCGGGAATCTGGATCTGCCCAAACGGACACCGGCTGGCGCCGTTCCGCAGGCGCCCCCCCTGCGCGCCCCCCTCCCCCCTTGGACCACCTCCAG